TATGGTATGAGGTAGGTAGGTCTGTCAACATTGTCCGAATTCAATAAATTTGTATTGGAAGGTCATTTTGAATAATTCCTGTCACCAGGTTAAAAAAAAAAAAAAAAAAAAAAAAAAAAAAAAAACCTTAATAGTATGTAAAAGAATCATGGAAATGGAATTTTCGCGAATATTGAAAAATTTTGGCATTTCCCGTAAGTCACCACCTGCTCATTACCATGTATTATGATTACAGGTCAATCCGTCGAGGGAAAACAATAACCGCACTGCAGGAGTGCGGGCTTCTCCAAACGCGATTAAAAGAAAGAATTCTATCCGAATAAATAAAAAGACTTTTTGAAACGCCATAATGGAGACTTATGTAGTTTTCAAGTCAAATTATCGATATAGATGCTACGAACACCAAACATCGGTAAATGAACCAACGGCAGGAACCCTTCCTAACTTTTAAACTTTCTTTATGCCGCCGTGGAAACCGCAAGATGAAGTTTTTTTCGTAGAGTTTCTCTCTACATCCGGCATCACTGTCGGATCAAGAGGGAGCGTATTTGATCAATCGCTCTCAAATTTTGTGGGGTTTTAAACCTGTCTAAGTGGTTTTGTGTGTTCTTGCAGTTTTCCGCGCAAAAGTATGTGGATGCGTGGAAAGCTTCTGGGATGCCTCGGTGAAGGAAGATATCTCTAAGTTTTCCGTCTCTAAAAATCAGGTCAAACATCTTCCTCCGATGATAGATGCGCGCCCACTCAGCTCTTCACTCTCAGATATAATCTCCAGAGATTTATTAATTTTCCTCTTCGAAAATTTTGTCCTTTTCAGGTACCATGAAACAATATCGATGAAATATTTGCGTGTGGATACAAAATCTTGAGAAGTTCAAGAATCCTAACGCCGAACTATGTAATTTGAATATTATAAGGAAATACAGTGAAATATCGCGCTGAGCCGAACTACGATTAAGACAAAATCCCGCTCAAGTCGAGGACATCCTCGTTCCCTAGAAACCGCCAAAATCGGCGATGTAAGAAAATATTGTGACTTAGATGAATTCGTGACTCTTGATGCGGAGCGAAAGCTTATTGAAATTTTCGGTAAATCTGACGAAAATTTGATTTTATAAGTGAAACACCATAAGAAAGGAGCGATTTCTCTGTGTGTGAAATATACGTTTCAATAGTTAGTTAGTTATTTTATTTACAGACATTCAGCATCCTAGGCTATTAAAGTCTTTACAAAGAATTTGGAAGATGGGTGTATGTACAAAAATTTAGATTTTTAAATTAAGGGAGGCAACTAATTTTAGAAGTTTGGTTGTGACGTTAAGTTCATCGCAAGTTAGTGGGTTTGTATTCCTTTTGACTGTTGGTGAGAAAATCTGTGAACGGAGATCCCTTAGGGCGGAGCAGTCCGGATTAAGGGGGTGGCCACATAGGCCGCGCCCATGGCTGCACATTTAGGGGGCGAAAATTTTTTTTAAAAGTAGGAATTAAAAAAATCGGAGTTAGAAAAAAAATTATAAACGAGAAAAGGCGACAAAATCTCTAATTTTCTGAGAGTATAGTAATTTCTACTTTTGTCGTCTTTCAGTGATATAAGAGGCAGCACCTTTAATTAGTCGAGTTAAGAGAGAAACCAAACACGCAATTTGGCCTGGAACGGCGCGACTTACCTAGAGAGAAATGATGACGAGGACTTCAGATGAAAAGGAAAAGCCCTCGGCGCAGCTATCGGCATGTAACACATATTAGCGCCTACAAGACTGCACGAATACTTCACGCATTGCATCAAATACAGTGCGATCATTGCGGACAGCGTGAAATGGATAGCGCCTACAAGAATGCATGAATACCTCACGCATTGCGGCAAACACAGTGCGATCAGCGTGAGACGCATAGCGCCTACAAGACTGCGTGAATACTTCACGCATTGCGTCAAACACAGTGCGGTCTGCGAGGCGCGGCGGTGGAAGTTAAAATCATTAATCCACATTTATGTTTGTTCTTTCATAATTTTTTCGTTCATTTCTTATGAATGGAAGGCCTTGTCCACACAGAGATAGGTTTACGAAACTTAACTTTTGCGCAAAGTTCCGTGAACTTTTGCTAGTAGTGTTTACAGGGCTTTCGCAAAAAATGTGTCCATCACGATTTAACGCGTCTTATGCACCCCTCCCCTCCCCCTCCGGCATGTTCACTTGATGGTTTTTATTGATGTTTCAAAACGAATGAAAAGGGGGCGGCAAAATACTAGCGGCCCATGGGCGGGAAATAAGGTAAATCCGGCCCTGGTCCATAAGGTTTATGATGACCTATGTGTATACATGTATTTTTGAAAAAGGTGCAGAAGTAAGAGCTTCAAATCTATGACTTTGAGTTATTGAAGAAGTTGGAAAACCTACTTCTAAAAGTCACTTATTAGTTACTAAAAATCACTTAGCTTGAAGTTTCGAGCTTATTTCGTGGCAAGCAGTAAAAAAGATAAGACGGAATGTTGCTGAAGTCGAAATTTCTTCCAGTCCTTTGACGGTTTGACTTGCAAAAAAATTCAGTTTAAAACCAAATTTTCCGTCTTTTTGAATTATCTGCATGCAATGTCGGTCATTATGTTTTTTTTATTCCCAAGAGTAATATGTAGTTTATAAGATGGCTGAGCCATTGGCCATTCTAATTGGTCATTTTTGATTGGCTTAAAGCCACACATACATTCACTAAAAATATGCTCCATTCAGAGCTTCTTTCCGGTAAAAGGTGATGGGAATTTCTACTTACTCTTCCGTTGCTTTTCTTTTTCTTAACAGTACACAGTTTCCAATCACAATTTATCCCGAATAAGGAGCCCTTGCGGCAACATCATGAGCCAACACTGTTAAGAGCTTAGCAAGAACGCCGCATAAGCCTTTTGGACGATGTCAAACTTCCTTCCGATGAATCTCGAATTTCTCGGTAAACCGTTAATATTTCCCCTCCAATTTTTGCAGAGAATGTTACAACAACTTTGATTAGAAGGACCTGAAAATGTTGGAAAAAAATATTCATAACTTCCCACAGAAATAATAATTTTCCAGGGATAAATTTGGCAAAATTCGAATATTCATACGGCACTTTCCCCTGGCGCGGCAGAAAATAGCGTAAACTCAAGCTCTACCACCCTGATACCGCGCCGTTAAAGAAGGGGGGGGGGCGGCGGGGAGAGCATGTTCAAATAGCTCGGAACGTTTTTCCTCTTTTTGTTTGTACTGGATATCACCTCTTTGGAAAACAATGTTCTGTTTTGATTTGTGTTCGTAGCCGCACGGGCCGGGGCTTACAATGGGAAACTTTCGGAGTGGGCGCTGGCAAAGCATGAAAGGGAGAGGTCAAGGGGAAAGAAGTTAAGGGAGGGTTGAGGGGGCAGCGTGTAAGCTCGGGGAGCTTTTGAATAGCCGGCCAACTCGATTTCTGGCATACTCCGTGCATAAAGAAGTGAAAGGAGGGCAAGAGGTCCAGGGCCAATAAGGCACCCGCACGATAAATTGACGTCCGGGGAAGAAAGTTGGGGTGCCTTTTTATATCTTGTTCTTTTTAATGGTGATTCGTATTATAAAGCCCGAGCTGGGATTCTGAGTGCCGAGGGAGAATATGTTTCTCAGGGTGCTTTGCATCGCCCTTCAAATTACGAGTCTCTCGCTAATTCAAACCGCTTTGATTCGGAGGCCCCTTTTCTTGGAGATCTCTGTATGACTCGAATAAAAATCACTATACGTTGCTCTCTTCCGTTATTCAAGATGTTGAGAGCAGTTCAGCTCTTTCGTATTTCGGAGTCAATCCGAAAATTCCCTAGCATTGTCAACATAAAAAGGGGCTTGGAGGACAAGGCGTATGAGGGTAGTTCTTGAAAAAAATTGGGATATTGATAATTTCAAGTACAAGTAGTATTGAAGCATATTCTGTGGAAAATTCGCTTCCAAATTTCAAATTTAAGCATCAAACAGTCAGTTTGAACTTCCTTTCCGCCGTAAGGATCCATGTAATTTCAATACTTCAAACACGTACTTCTCGAAATAGCAAATACTCCACTTATGCGCCTTGTCCTCCAAGCCTCTCAATTAATTGTAAAAAGAAGCGAAGACATTTTCTTGGGGGGAGGGGGGCGGAAGGGGAATGAGTTAGGAGTAGTGTTGAACTTAACCAGCCGCATATTTTCTCCTGTCGAAATTTCAGAGTCGATTTTTAGTAAGAAAAGTAGGCGCTAAATTTTATTTCTAACATTGATTCATGTTAAGGAAGAAAACTTCAAATCTCTTTTTTCATATTAATTTTTTTTTTTGACAAGTAGAGTAGTGTTAGAACGTAGATAAATTTTTAAATGAATCTAGCTGAGGGTTTGTAGAACGATTGTGTTCGTTTTTGACGTCTGATACGGCCGATGTTGATTTTATTTTCGCGAGAGAAAGTTTGACTTTATTAAGCCTGATATAAAATGTGAACATTCAATTTCTCATTCACCAGTTTATATTTTGGACTTTTTTAACATGCTCAACGGGTTTTTGCGTGAAATTGTGATGGAAAAATGGCTCGTAGTGTTTTAATTCTTAATCTGTCCAATGGTCCTGGAAAAAACTGAAACTAGCATGCTCCCAACTATCAGTTCAGTGCCAACAAGACCGAGCCCCGGATTTATTTTGGCTGGTATGCATGTACCTACAAAATAGTTTCCTCGTTCTGCCGTGCACAGGAAAAACGCCGTATGAACATTCAAGAGTTGCCAAATTTCCTTTGATAAAATGTTGATTTTGAAGGAAAATTATGAATATTTTGCCTTGAAATTTTCAGTAGTTTTAGATAAAATTAAGAACAAAATTATCTGAGAAATTGGCAGACAAATATTCAACAATTTTTTTAAAAATTAGTGATTTGCCAGGGGAAATTTGGCAACGCCTGAAGGCTCATACGGCGTTTTTCCTTAGCACGGCAGCGCTGTAGTCGAGAAATCCCTCCAATTTCCAATGTTTTTATCATTGCAGCACGTGAGCCCCGCTGAAATGCAGCGGCATGAATCATGACAACTGGACGTCTCTTTCAGCAGCACTTGAGCCTCGATAGGAACAATTTTATCGTCCATTGCTCACTGTCAGCCGAAGCTTGAAACCGAAATACGGCCGGATTGTGGAAGCGAACTATAAACGGAGCATCAAAACCCCTCGTTATGAACGCCCTTAATTTATGGGGTAATATAATGCACTTTTCCTTTTTCACTGTGTTTTTATTTATTTATTCATTTCGTTTTTTTTTACCATGCGCATTAATCTTCGCCTTTTATGTAAATTATTCAATTCTGGGATTGTGAACGGATAGACCTACCTCTGGGCGGTTTCCCCTGCCGATTGCGGTCGCCCCGACGGACGCGACGGAAGGGAATTTCAATCGGGAATTCACTCTCAGACTCACTCTTGGAAATATTTCCCCGCGTTATTATTCCTCAACTTGAACGGTGAAACACCTATTAGTGATTGTAAATGAGGAGGCTCTTTAAGCGTAGAGAAGTTTCGATAGTTTTTATTCATTACTTGATATTTATGTATGTAATCTCATAAGGCTTTTCCGATATCTGCATTTCTCATCCATCACTTTATTCAGGCTCGTTCGAATTGCTCGGGGGCCACGTCTCACAACTGCGTCTACCCCCTTCGACCCTTTGTTTCTCGGTGACTTGACTTTGGAGCCCTGGCCGTTCCCACAAGTTGATATTACTGTTTTTTTCTCCATTAAAACTGTTTTACATACATTCAAATGGGCGGAGCCCGATGTTGCCACTGCTTAAAAGGCTTTTAATTGGTCAAGGCAACACGCTGTACGATTAATCAGAAGCTTGGATTTTGTCATGTGATCGGAGGAAAATTCCTTGATAGATAGGTCATGTTTGGAGATAACTTGACGCACGGAAAATTTATCGAAATAAAATTGATGTGAATGGAATTAACAGAAATATCTATAGTTTATGATTTATTAAATGTCAAAGAGCAAAAAGATTTATAGGAGATTAATGTGTAGCGTTTCCGTCGATTAGAGATAAATCCCGCAAAAATCGATTGGAAGAAAATATAATGGAGAATCGATTTATGGAAACATAATTCCTTTTAAAGTTGTGTTTTTATTGGATGCATGTGTTTTTGTCATAACTGGATTAAAAAAAGGAAATAGTATTGCTGCTTGTTTAATGAAAATAAATTTACAGATATACAATCGATCAAAGATCAACAATTAAAAGAAGATTCATACGTATAATAATTGACCATTTCTCGTATTCTCGTTCTCGCCTCCGTGCGTCAATCAATTTTCGATTAATCGATTTTCGATAGACTTTCTCTCCAATCTATTGATTTTTCAAGTTAACATCTGTTTAAGACTAGTGTGGTCTGTCGGATCATGAGCCTTCATAACGCTGCGTTCTTTTACTAATTTTACTCTTGTGAACTGTTACCTCATTTTGAACCGATCAACTAGTTTATTTTCTCATTTAATTTTATCGATGAATATCTCTGTAAACTGTTTAAATATAGTTGAGCTTCAATCATAATTAAGATAACAGAAAACATTCTGAATATAGGTATGTGAACCGATTTCAGCAGTTAATATACATTTTTCGGGCCCCAAAGGCACGGTTCAATCAACTCCTGTAATTGTTAAACCTCCTCTTAAAGTGTGCCAGGATCTCTGACAATCGCTGGCGATTAAATTATTAAATTAACTAGAGGTCACGAGTCTTAGCTCTAAATTTCCCACGCGAAAGCCAAAAATATTGCCCGACTCAAGTGAGGAAGTAATAATTTCAGAATTTTACCTGCTCTTGGAAACGACATTAAAAGTTATTCTGTCAGCACGTTGAAATGCGTCAAGCCTAAAGAAATCTCCACCACGAAAAGGGACTTTAGGTCCAAACTCATTAAGAAAAATGAAATAAAATATATTATTAAAGTAATATGAAAACCGAAAAATAAGTTAAGGGATCATAAACAGGCTCCAAAATTGTAAATAAAAAAATCAAACCTTAATTCCTCTGTTGTGTTTGACTCGTTATTATGTCCTGAAATTCGATGATGGTGTTCATTGTGATGTGTTTATGATCTCATTATTCGATATCTTGCAACTAAAAAAAGAGACAAACTCTAAAATGCGTTTTTTTTATCACGCAATGATCGAAAAAGGTTGATAAAGAAAAACATCAGTTCAACACACGCAACACAGACAATCTAATTTTATTAGTATTAATGTGACGTCAATTTCCATGTGTGGGTGAAAAAGAAACTTTTCACATAAACCTTTTCTTTTTTTGTTATTTTCGTCCTCTCTTCTGCATTTTTGCAGGGTGGGTTTCGTACCAAGGCGGATAAGAGTGGAAGCAAACCCATTTTCACCCATCATCTTCGATACGCCCACAGAAAGAAGGAAAAAAACCGTGTTGGGAAATAAATGTGTTGATAAAATGCGCAAAGAGGGAACGGAAAGGGTGCATGCTATGCTCCCATACTAAGGAAAAACGCCGTATGAGCATTCGAATGTTGCCAAATTTCCTCTCAGAAAATATTTATTTTGGAAGAAGATTCGAATAATTGGCTTGGAATTTTTGGACGCCAAAATCAAATTAAGAGCACAATTCTCTGAGATAGCCGGAGAAAAATGTTTACAAATTTTCCGGAAATTAATGATTTGTCAATGGCAATTTGGCAACGTCTGAAGGCTCATACGGCGTTCTTCCTTAGCAGTGCGGGGCGGGAACAGAGCCGAAATAAAATTCGAATGAATGGAAGCTGGCGACGTGACAGCATCCCTCCGAAAATTAATCCACAATAATGGAATTTTTCAATATAACGCGAGCGGAGCGTATAATCACCGGTTTATAATGGGAATAATGGATTTGGCCCGGACCGAAAGTGCACCAAATTTCCCGGCCGATAACATCGAATTGAAGTAATTAAAAAAAGTGAAAACTACGGATTCGGACAATGGGGAGGGGGGTGGAAATCGAAAACTCTATTAACTTAAATTACTGGGGGCGGTTCGGTGGCTGAGGAATGAGAATAGCTGAGGGAGCCCCGGCCCGGCCGGGAAGGGGCGGATGCTCGGCCATAACTTATAGAGGAAATCAAACAGAGTTGCCCGACTTGGAGTCGAGGAGACCCTCGAACTGAAAAAATCCAAGAGTTAACGCATGCTAATGATTCCAACAAGAACTCAGGTATTTTTAAAAAATTCCTATCTACTGAAAAAAATAGCCCTCCGTGTGAATTTGTTAAGATTCATGTTTGGCACTAGCATCCCCAAATGTTGGCGTACCCTAAAATCACTTGACATGCATAAGGAGACCATAGATATGGTCCTTCATGCAAAGTTTGAATGAAATTGAACAAATACATTTTAAGATATGGCTGTACACAGATTAAGGGGACGCCGACGGGCCGGATGGACAGACAATCTTTTCAAATTTGTTTTTTTTTTTTTTTTTTTTTATCACTCCAGGCTCCTTCGAACGCCTAGAAATGATGATTCAACCATTTTTTAATTTTTTTTTTTAAATTTTGATGACATTACTTCCTCTATCCGCAAGGGAAGCGAGAAAGTATGGTAACATCGATTATAAGTGCACTTGATGTTTTAGCCCAGTGATCCATTCAGTGAAAATAACCAGAATTATAGTAGCATTCACCAGAACTCTGGTGATACTTACCAAACCATGGCAAATGCTGCCGTAGAGTCGGGTGTTTATTACCATACTCGGATCACTGTGTCAGAGTATGGTAAAATCTACCATATTTTTTTTCAATTTTGTAAGTTTTCAAACGGTTCTCGAAAAAATTACGATCATGTTCCCTCCTGGAGATCATCTGTCTGAATAACGCGGGAATATTCTGAAAAAAAAATTCCATTTTCAGTTTTGAAAATACTACTAACTTGTAGTGTCAAAAATGGTTTGTGAATACTCTCTAGTCAACAAAGTTTTGGTGTCAACTTTTCCATTTTGATTTTTTAAAACATTTTGAAAATATTTTGCTACTGAAGTCCCCGTCCTTTTTGCGGTAACAAACTAAAGCATTGTCCATATTTCTTGTATAACTTTTACGTATCATATCAATATCTTGGAAATGCGGTTTTCACACCGTTTTTCGTGAGAATATAACGAAATACCTTTTTTCCCCTGGAGTATTTTCTGATTTACTGGGATTATATTGCTCTCTAAAAATGAACTGGGTGCTTAATTTTCTTCTTTTAATTTAATTTAAATAGGTAATACAAAACTTAAAAAATCCTGCTTTTTGATAAGATAAAAAAATAAACCCAAATTTTAGTCTCACGAGGACAATTCATTAATTGCACCAAGGCACTTTTTCAAGATTAAGGCATCGTCATTTCTCCAATCCAAAATACTAAAATCGTTGATTTTCTTACGCGAAAAGATGAAAATGAACCTAGCTGTTCGACCATGTCGGCTATATTCTTAGTCTGAATATCTTGCAGTCATTGAGACATGGGCATGGTATTTTCCTCGATATTTTACAATGTGAAATCCGACATCAATGGTCAAAGGGAGGGTTATGGGAGCTAAGAAAAATAAACCTCTCAAGGTATAGCGATATTTATATGTATTCCTCCATATTGCTGGACGTCAATACGGAAGCAGGCCCAAGAGAGAGGGGGCGGTGAAAGCTAACTGGAGACTTTTTTCTAGCTTCTTCAGAGGAGATGTAGTCCTACCCCGCACCAGCTCCTCCCACTCCCCGTTTAAAAAGCGGCACAGGGGATTTCATCTTATAGCTCGGACTATTTTCTAACCTCGAACGTATGCTCAAGTCAGGATAACATCAAATTAAACACGTGGGAAGCCTTACCGTCTTACCGCTTTTACTTCGAGAACAGGTGGAAAAGTAAGTGGGCTTGAAGAAAAATTTAACAAGAGGTCGATGAAAGACAATGAGGAGTTGCTTAAAAAAGAGCATTGGTGTGTGTAAAGTATGTGATCGAACAAGTATAAGGAAGCTAAATCATTCTGTTGTCTTGTGTGATGTGAAAATAAATAAATCAGTTGCGTTCAGAGGCGTTGTTTGGGGGTGGACGGTGGACACGAAGCAGTTGCCTCGATACCCCACCCCAAATTTGAGATTCAAATCCCATTTTTAGCGATTTGAAGCCATGTTTTGTTATTTTTTGAAATTTCGTCCCCCTCTGCTGAAACCTACGTCTTTTCAACAAATGTT